ATCCCTCCTCTCACAGTCCCATCCCTCCTCCCACAGTCCCCACCTCCCCCGCACAGTCCCCGCATCTCTGCGCACCACTGCTGCCATGTTAGGTCACAAGAGTGTTGGAGGGCTCTGGATTGAGGGAAATGAACGTTGTTGTCCACGTCTTTTCACAGTTAATGAGATCAGCTTTCACCTGGGTTTGCTGCTCACCATAACTCTGTTCTCTTTTCTCAGTCTCCCTGTCACTCCTTAAACGTTTTCCACCTGTGTGGTCTCTGTTTCTTCCATGTGTTCTTCTTAAACCCTTAGTTAAGCTTTCACTGGGAAGTTCATACAGACGTTTTGTCTCAAGGAGCAGTGAGAACAATGGTGCTTAAATGCACAGGTCAGTTTTCCACAGGCCCTTCACGAAGACGCCTGAGGTGCAGGAGCCTGCAGCTGGAGGGGCTCCTGAGCACTCCCTCCTGTGAACTGGGCGCATCCATCGCCCGCAGGCTCTCTGCACTTCTGTTGCTTGTATTGTCATGTATTTAGGCCTCAACTTTCCAACTCTGAGTTCTTGAAAGGTGGGAAGGAAATGGCACACTTTTAACCATTTCTGTACCTTGCGGGCTGTACACAGTAACCATCGAAAAAATGATTTGTATCTGAAAAAATAATTTATAACTGGTGTTCTGGCTACATGGGAGAGTACTTTTCAGGCCAGCTTCTTTATGGTGTAGAATGACACAGAGTGACACCCTAGGCCCAGATGTATAGCATATGCAGGGAGCATTGAAGGATGCACCATTTGACATCTTTGTAAACTCCAAAATTCGAGGTGTCAACATAGCTTGTAATTTCCCCTATAAAATGCATTTTTGTCCTTACCGGGGAATGGCCTTTTTTGTTTTTTACTTTTTTATGGAGGAAAAGATACAGATCCAAACCACATGGCACAGATCCAAGGACTGCTGGCTGGACCGTCTACGGTGTTGCAGCGCGTGCCAGCCTGCAGCTGCCTGCCCGCAATCCCTGTTGTAGATTTCTTCTTCCCTGCACTCCCAGCACCTGCGCTGCCTCCAGGCTTTCCTGGGGAGGGTTTTTAAAAATAAGCAAATGAGGCTTTTATTTTGGTTTGTTTTGTTTTTAAAATACACCTTCATTACTTCAGAAGTATTGAGCGCAGGATGAAAGTAGAAAGCTGCCCCGGTTTTCTATTGTTGCTTGGCCACCTCCTTGAGTCACGGTGATTTAGCAGTGATTTGTTTACAATCTCTCATGGCTCTGGGGGTCAACTGGGCTCAGCTGAGTGGTTCTCAGTTGGGGCCTCTGCTGCAGTTACCATCAGAGAGTGGCTGGGAGCCACGTCATCCAAAGGCTCAATTGGGCTGAGGGGCTCCCCGACTGGCCTGCCAGCAGGCGGTGCACTGTATCTGCCTGGTATCTCAGCAAGAATTCTCAACCAGCCCACCACACTGACTTCCTCAAAGTTTATATTGGGTGTTACTTTAGGGTTAACAAAGCATTTACTGTCACTTCAACTTTGCCGATAATTTCAAAAGATGACACCCAGATGACCAATGTCACTGATGAGTGTCTACAGTGGTAACGGTGGGCAGGCAGCCACAGGTTCGCACATGCTGCATAAACAAATCACTTACTATCTTTTCAACTTTGCTGATAATTTCAAAAAAAGGACTGACTGCCAGATGACCAACGTCCACAAGGCAATGCGCCATGGCCTCCAGTGTGTGTGCCGTGGCCTCCTGCGTAGCTTGGGCTTCTCAACCCAGCATGAAGGCTGCATCCCTGCATGCATCACGATGGTCCAGGCAGAGCTGAAGGGCTCCTTAGGACACAGCACCAGAAGTAGCAGATGGTGACTTTCGCCATATTTCATTGGTCAAGCAAATCACAAAGGCCAATTCAGATTCAAGAAGACGGAGTCAGATCTGACCTGCAAGTGTGCAGAGGCTGTTTGTGAATTAAAGGCAATCACAAGAAGAAGGGTCCAGGTCACCATGATCAGTGAGGCTCGTCTGGCAGGCCTTGCCTTGGCAGCACCAGCAAACCACCTGGCTGCAGAAAGGCTCAAGTTCCATCCACAGAAATAGTGCGAATTGTGGCACTGTGGACTCCCACAGTGGCTGACAAGTATTAGACACAGGGGTTGCTAAGTCAGTGAGGCCCAGGGAACAGGGAAGGCTAGGGCGGGGCTGATAGCGCTGGCAGCCACAGTCATCGTGGACATTATTCACCTGGGTGTCAGTCACCTTTTGACATATCAGCAAAGTTGAAAATATAGTCAATGCTTTGTTAACTCCTAAGGAAACACTCAAGGTGAGCTGCAAGGAAGTCCATTTGACAAAAAGGCTGTTTCTGTACATAATTGCTGCTTGAGATTTTACAATGTGTCTACTCACACAGCCAACACATATTTCCTAAGTATGCCCGTTTCCTTTTAAACTCTTCTTCCCTTCCAGGGGAACCAGTTTGCACTCCCTGCTGCATCTGTGTGGCCAGAGGATGCCCCTTCTTCCTAAGCGTCTAGGATCCCGCAGTTCTAGGCTATGCCTTTTCACACCAGTGGTGAGGCCCCGCACCTGGAAACGGTCACGGGACCCATTCTGAGCTGTACCTGTGTCCTCTGCAGGGTTACAGCCAGAGGCAGATGGCTTTCCTAGAAATGCCTTGATGTGAGTTTTAAAGCAACTCCTTATGACTATTATCTGAATTTACCAAACTCTCCCTGGCTTTTGCTCAGAATGAACTTTTGATGTTTACTGTCGAATTTTCCGACTGGAAAATTATTCTTGTGAAACATGTGACTGTAAACCACACTCCTCGCGCTTTGCGCACCTCACTGCGTCCATGCAAATGAACAGTGTGATTTCAAATTTGAGGAAGGTTGGATGAGAGTGAGACCTAAGAGGATCTTTAATGTGGGGCGTTTTTAGAGAGGGAAAAATGAAACGGGTCTCGGCTTTCTCAGGGTGACATATAATTTGGATTTGACTTGGAAATAGGGAAGACATATGGGGCAAAGCACATGAGAAGCATCGCAGAGGCCAGTGCCACTTGGGGCATCCGTTTCAGGTCTCAGGCTGGGAGCTGGTCAGCAGCAGGGTTCCAGTCTCCATCCACTGCCTTCCCCTCTGGGGCTCGGAGGGAGGCGTAGGGAGGAGGTCGTTCTTGGAGACCCCCAGATCCCTGCCTCTGTGAGTCTAACTGAAGGGGCCCCCACAGTGGCCGAGTCTCTTTGTTCTGTCAGGAAGGGGGTGTTTTTGTTCAACACGTGGCCGCACGATGTGGTTTTGTTCAATACGTTACATTTCTGCTTAATTAACGTTCATTTTTGTTCCCCGGCAAAATCCAGTCTGTTTTTCCCTTTTCTTTCCAGGCAGGCATTAAAGGGCTAATCATCTATAAAAGGGCCAGTGTTAGAGGCACCTGAGAAACCAGGAGGTGTGTGTGCCCCCATGGGGGATCTTTCTACCGGAAGCAGAAGCATCAGGGGCGAAGTGGAAGTGAGGTGGAGGGATGGAGCCGAGGTAGCAGGGGAGGGGTTGGTAGAGCAGAGGGGAGCACCTTGCTTTGCCCTCCTTCCAGTAATCAGCAGGTTTCGGGTTGGGATGAACTTTGGGGGAGCAGCACCCCATGACTCCGCTCAGCTGGAAAAGGGACAGGTGACCCAGGCTGAAAGAAGTGGTGAGATCTGTTAGAGGAAAACAACCAGGACTTAGTGAGGAGAGGCTTTGCTGGGAAGGATTGCTGTCAGGCAGGAAAGGGAGGACCCCATGACCATAGGGCTGCAAATGCCTCAAACGGAAAAGGCCCTTCTTTTATCCAGTAAGGAGGAGCCACCGGGGCCAGCAAGCTCTTTGGAGGGGACCCGGGAGAAGCCTAGGAAAATGGCCAGTGGGGTTGAGCAGGACATAGGCCCTGCTGTGTCCAGCTGGCTCCCCGGGGAGATGACCAGGGGTGCGCTCCAGGTCCTCAGGACTCACTCAGGATTGGGAACTCGGAGCTCAGGGCTCAGCAGGAAGCAGAGACCCGGGCGACGTGTGGTCGGGACAGGGCAGGGCTGGGAAGTGGCAATGTGGCCTTCTGGGCAGTCGGGGTGGGGAGGACGCACTTTTCTCTGTGAGGCAGAGAAAGTGAGTCCATCCAGCTGGCTGTATGTTGGTCATGAGTCTGTTTGTAAATTTTTTGTCATTTCCTGAGATGTGGTTCACAGCAACCCAGGTGTGAACAGCTTTATGATTCTAGGGTTCTTTTCTATTTTTTAACCACTTGCATCTAACAATAAATTTCTGAGTGACTTGTCATCAGCTGCTTTCCTTGATATGTCTAATGACTGGGCAGTGACCCCCATTATCACCCAGAGAGGATGCCTCTGTGCCACATAAAGATTAGGTGCCCCGCCTTTGATCAAGGGACTCCTCTGAGGGTCTCAGAGAATCCAGTAATAACAGCTGATAAGCATGGAGAACCACCTTTCCTCCAGGCACTGTTCCTCGGCTTTGTGGACGGGCCTGGCTATTTCTCAGAACCCTCTGAGGTTATAACTGTGAAGGTCTTTCTTTTGAAAGAGGAAACCGGGGCTTGCTGAGGCTCAGTGGTCCTTCTGTGGCTGTATAGCTTTCAGGGTGGGGCCAGAACTCACTGACTCTGCACAAAAGTGCTCCCAACCCTGCCCATTATCTCACATGGCCTCTTGCAAACGTCCCCAGATCTTCCCAGTCGGCTTGCAGGGGCTCCTGGCTCCCAGGGGAGAACCAGGTAAAGGAGTGTGGAAGTTTGTCTACAAACTCATTACTGCAAATTGAAAACATCGCAAAGCCTCTCTTGCTCTGGAGAGCTACACCGCCTCCCGCTTTCTCATCACTTTCCCATTGGTTGGAATTTGATTCCAGGGATCTCAGGGTTACTCAATACCCTACAGGATACACATGGTTAACCATTTGCATTTGGCCAAATAGGCGTTACTTTTCAATAGGAAGTGGCAATCCAGAACTTGCTTTTGGCCAGTTCTAGTAGCTCACAGCTTTTCTTTTTAAATAACCACTAGAAGTTGCCTCTTATTGACAGATGGTCATCACCTTGGTGACCTGGAGTTGTCACACTGGGGCCCGGAGCGGCTGAAGGGAGGGGATCAGAGCGCTGCCTGTGGTGAGCATGCCAATGCCCTGAAACTTACCTTTCAAATCTAACTTCTTTGACATCCTAGCCTGGTGGGAACGGGACTGTTTTTCTCATTAATCTTCCAAATTGCTGGCGTGTGGACTGTGTTGATGCTTAACAGCGCAGACTTCCTTTCCTGAAAGCATTGACCATACGGTTTTAGGAAGCTCACTTTTCTTCTAAGTGTGTAGTAAGAGATTTCATACTCATTCCCTGCACTGGAGCTTGGGTGATGGCCTGTGTGCTTGTTTCTCATACAGGAGATATCCTCAGGGCATCAGTCTGGAGAGGAATGCGATTCTCGAACAAATGTACGAAAAGATTTTGAAAAACAAAAAAATTAGGCTAAGAAATATTTTGGAGGCCGTAAGTCTTTTACGCAATGAAGGCTGTTGAGTGGGCATTGCAGGCAGCCTGAGACTGAGCAGGAAGGAGCTTGCGAGTGAGGGGGGTTATTTAAAAGAAATTGACAAGGTGGAAATTTTCACAAGACCCAGTGCAATGCTGCAAAGCTGCCATGAGGGCTGCCAATGCCACTGTGATTACGAAGCCAGTATCTTATGACCAGAAAAAAATACACAATGATATTGAAAGAAGCCAGACCAGGCGCGGTGGCTCACACCTGTAATCCTAGTTCTTTGAGAGGCCAAGATGGGCAGATCACCTGAGGTTAGGAGTTTGAAATCAGCCTGGTCAACATAGTGAAACTCTGTCTCTACTAAAAATACAAAAATTAGCCGGGCGTGGTGGTATGCCTGTAATCCCAGCTATCCGGGAGGTGGAGGCAGGAGGATGCTTGAACTCAGGCTTGAACTTCAGTGAGCCGAGATCGCGCCCCTGGCTCCAGCTGGAGACCAACTCCAAAGTCCATGTAGCAGCAGGACATTATTAAAAAAAGACAAAAATGCAAGGCCATAACTAAAGCTATTCTTGAAATGGTTAAAGATGTAATTACTGCAAATAAAAAAGAAAAAAAAAAAGCAAACTTCCAAAAAAAAAAAAGGAAAAAAAAAAAAAAAAAACACCCACAGAAGCTAATAAACAAATCACCAGCGGTAAACAAAAAAAACCCAAACCTCCTGGCCTCCTCCTTAGCCACCCTCATTCAAAAGCAGAAGGAAGCCAGCTTAGAGTTTCAGCTCCACTAATGCATATCTAAAAAGGTATGAAATGTGGTGTGCCCATGATTCAAATGAACTTAGAGAACATACATGTATTGAACACCTAATGTTGCAGTATTTGAAACTCTGATATCGATAAGATATTTTAAAATAAATAGATTGTTTAGGATCTAAATAATTCTATGGCATTTCACTAAGACCTGCTGGTGGCAAAGTGAATTAGAACGGCGAGTGAGAGACAATAATGGAAGGCTCACAGTCTAGATGAGCTACAGCTTCCCCATCTGTCAAATGGGTATGATGTCTCTACCTTAAATGGTTTGTGAGGTTAAAAGGGATAACAGCTGTAAACCAGTGATTCTAATGCCCAGCAGGTAACTAGAACATAATTTACAGCAGAAGCACATACACAACACAAACACACACATACATATATGCATGATATATACATACACACACATCTATAGAGACACACACACAGTTATACATACACTCACATGCATGAATACACACATATTTATACATAGAGGCACCAATATACACCCATGCACACACATGCAAACACATACATGCACATGTATGCTTGCATATGCACACCTACACACATGCACACACGGGCATATACACATACACTATAGACACACATTCATATATGCAGGCATATGCACACCGATTACACACATGAACACATGCATATACAAATACACACACACACACACACACACATATGCACACAGACACACATACTCTTATTTAGTTCTTGCTCCTTGTTTTGCTGGGCCAGTGCTATTTGGGAAAGTAAGTACAAATTTAAAAGTGTCTGACAACTTAATTTTAACACATTGTTAAGCTGGTTAGTAAATGTTTTTAAATTACAAGTTAACACAGTTTTTACCAGTGATAATTTGATAACTATTACTGTTTTTCCATATTGAATTTTCTTGGGCAGAGTCTGTCCTCGGCCAGGCAGTTGGTCTGTTGCTTGGCCCTTTGACCCCTGTTCCTCTTTGGGAGCCCCGGCAGCTCTTACTGGCCTTCTCTCTCTGCCACCACCACAGAGCCAGCCTGTATGGGTCTCCCCGAGAGTGTGTGCTGTGGCCACCGGCCTCTCCTGGGGCCATTTGCCTGTGATTAGAGGACTCCTGATGTCCTCAAAGTCCCCAGACATGGTTTTCTCTAAGGTAGAGGCCCCGTAGAAGGCCTGAGGGAGATGAGTGTGGTGTGTTTGCAGAACTGAACACGGCCTGGCATTTCTTAAATTCTGCAGTGGGGGCGGCTCTCCCTCATTCCACTGGTTCTGCTTTTTAGCAGAATGTATAATTAGGTGTTCTTTTCAATTCTAAATGAATTAATCAATTTGCTATTACTTTTTGAAATACTCTCTTGCATACTGTACCTTATAAAAATTGTACTAGGAAGCCATATTACTTTATTGGAATAAAAATTGAAGTTAACATTTTAAATGCTATGCTAGAAATATTATTCTGCGATTAAGTTTTTCTTAAAGTAACACTTTTTAAAATGTGTGATAAAAAGATCTTTGAAATGTTAAAATTGAAATTCAGAGGCTGTTATCACTTACTGTGCACATATATTTAATCTTCATGAGATCCTAGTACATTTGCATTTTATTTAGAAGACTAGGGTGGTGGCTTGCAGTCCCAGCTACTCTGGAGGCTGAGCTGGTAGGATACCTTGAGGCCAGTAGTTCAAGGCTGCAGTGTGCTATAATTGTGCTGTGAATGGCCTCTGGGCAACATAGCAAGATCCCATCTCCAAAAAAAGGTAGTTTACTTATATGATTATAAGCCTAGAATACAAAATACACATTAAAGTATAGCTTTAATATACCTCTAATAAAGGGGAGAAAAAGTCACTTAAAATATCTCTTAATGAAAGTTTATTTCTAAGTTTAGCATAGGTCCACAGAAAGAAGAGAATCAATCAGACGTGAGACCTGCACAGCTTTTGTTTTATGCAATTGCTAAGGGAATGAAGGCACTTCAAGTTAGAGGCTGGTGTGGGGACCAGCACACTGGCTGGGGATTCCTCCTGTGTTTGCCTTGGTGGCACCCCTTGGCACACTCCCTGGGTAAGGCGATGCCAGCCCTGGACGTCTGTGAGCTGCTGCAGTCAGGTGGTGGGTGCATGCAGGCATCTTCTCGTCCTCCCTCTGCTGTTGCCCTGAACAGAAGGGATTGGCCCCTGGGCATTGCTCAGACCTGTCTTTGGATGAATGAATGAACAGTCCTCTAGGTCAGTGACAGTGTTTGGCTATGTCCCATCCAAATCTCAACTTGAATTGCAGTTCCCATAATCCCCATGTGTCGTGGGAGGGACCAGGTGGGGATAATTTAATCATGGGGGCCGTATCCTGTTCTTGGGATAGTGAGTTCTCATGAGATCTGATGGTTTTGTAGGGGGCTTCCCTCTTTGCTGGACACTCATTTTTCTCCTTCCTGCCATCATGTGAAGAAGGATGTGTTTTCTTCCCTTTCTGACATGATTGTCAGTTTTCTGAGGTCTCCCCAGCCAGGCTGAACTGTGAGTCAATTAAACCTTTTTCTTGTATAAATTACTTAGTCACAGGTATGTCTTTCTAGCAGTGTGAGAACAGACTAATACAGTCAACTTATGGATTATATGATTTATATAATCAGACATATATGATTATATAGATTACATAGTCAGATGATATGATTCATATAATCATATGAATAAACTTCCTTATTTTAAAGAGATGAGGTCTATGTTGCCCAGGCTGGAGTGCTGTGGCCTTTCGCAGACATGATAATAGCACACTGCAGCCTGGAACTCCTGGCCTCAAAAATTTCCCAGCATTTCCAAAGAACAGGAACTGACACTGTTCCATGGGTGAGAAGGTTTGAGAAATAGTGAATTATTCCAGCAGAGCTCTGAAGGGCAATTGTTAAATGAGCTCTAATAGGAATTAACTAGGGAAGGGGATAGTTAGCATCTTATTAATGTTTTAATTTACTAGCCACAGAGCAATCATTTCCCTCCCGTCTGTCTCCCTCCCTTCTTTCCACCCAGCGCATCTCTTGGAACTCACTTTTAAATGCTGGATCCTTGAATTCCCCATGAAGTGACTGGTCCTAAGTTTAAGTATGCATTAGAATAATACAGAGACTGTGTTAATGCAAGGTGTTGAATCTTCAAAGCAGACATCCATCTAACATCAAACTTTATTAATGATTCAATAACAAAAACGCTGGGCAGAGAGATGCATCCCATGTTGGCAGGGCTGTTCTCAAACTCCTGGCCTCAAGTGATCCACCCACCTTAGCCTCCCAAAGTTCTGGGATTACAGGTGTGAGCCACCACGCCCAGCTATTCTACATTTTTAGATAGGGGTCCCAGCCTTCTTTCCACTAGTAAGTACCATTTGCATGTTTACAAGGAGATCTGGTCCTCGCTCAATCCATTTGTGGGCAGAGTTTAGTTACTTGTGGTTGTAGGACTGAGGTCCGCATTTTCATGTTGGCTGTCAGCGGAGGGCTTTTTAGCTTCTCAGGGCCACCATGTGGCTTGACCTGTGGCCCCCTCTTCTGTCTGCAACTCCAGCAACAGCACATTGAGTCTCCCTTCTTTGAATCTTTTCTTCTCCCGTCTCCGTGGAGAACGACTCTTCACATCTAGGGACTCGTGATTGTACTGGGTCCACCTAGATAATCCAGCATGATCTCTGTCCACCCCCAGGCCTTGGATCTTTAACTTCATCACATACGCACAGTCCCTTTTGCCGTGTGAGGTAACACAAGCACAGGTCTGGTGTCTGTGCCAGGGCCTGGGGCCAGGATTCTGTCGACCACAAGTGCTGCCCCCTGTAGCAGCTGCCTCCTCACTTGTATCTATTATTGGGTTGGAAAGCCAGGGCTGTAATCTTGTGACTATGCCTAGTGCCAATGTCTAAAAATCATTGTTACATTTTGTAGGTTTTTCTAGTTGTTTAGTGCAGCAGGGTACCTTTGGTCTTTGTTAATCCACCGTGGCTGGGAGCTTCATCTGATTGATATGATCACCTCTTCACATGCTTTTGCAACACAAGGGTCTATATTTTCTTCTTCTGTGTACTCTAAAGCACTCAACGGTATACCTGCTGGGATTACAGAAGTGCAGAGGTGACCCCCATGCCTTCCACCAGCTTTATGTCCAAAGCAGTGACTGAGGGGCAGTGAAGAATGGAACTCTAAGTTGTGACTCCAGGCATCAGGGAAGGAATAGGGTGGAGTAAGCAATGAAGTGAGAATCAAAATTATGCAAGAAATAGGTTTGGAAAATAATTCAGAGTGAACTTTGTGTTATATGGGCTTCCTGTCCAAAAGGTCAGTATCTATGTGGACTTGTAAGTGAGGACTGCTATGGCACAACCTGGGGGGTGAGGAGGGGAGCTCTGCCTTCTCTGCCTGTGCACCTGGGGCTGCACTTCCCCAGCTGCTCCTGCATGGTATGGCCAGGCCCACATGATGCCAGAGCAGGGAAAAGAGGAGGAAGATGGGCAATTGGCTGGGAAGCACACTCAACATGAACACCAGAGCATTTCAGGCCATGGATTTTTACTAGGGGGTGCCCAGGTGGTGTTAATAAACAGGATGATGGACAATTCTGGAAAGGAGGAGTGAGCCTGAGAATAGCGAAGAGTTTTTCTTTCTTTTTAAGTTTGCTTCAAACGATGAATTTCAAAGCCCTTTGTCCTCAGGCCCTCCATAGCCACTCTAGCCCTTCCTGGTCTCCTGCTAAACTTCTGCAGCCTGGACCCATGCACGGCCACTGTTGCTATTCCCAACACAGTGTATGCTCCATGCATGTTGTTTCCTGACAGTCCGGTTGAATCGGCCAGGTCAGCTGCTCAGCTGTTTCACAAATATACAGGGCTCAGGACTCAGGACTGCTCTTCAGCCTGAGACCAGCTGGTCACCTGAGGGGGATGGCCCTTCTCTGTCAATCACTGGCCCATAGCCTTGCCATTCTCCAAGGACCCTGATCGGAGCCTCCTCCTCCAGGAAGCTTTTCCTAACTGTGCCACCCTCCACCTTTCCTCTGGCACTTGGGTTTCTGGCAATTAGGATGCCTTTGCCGTAGCAGGTTCGTGCTTGTAACCTGGAATGTCTACTGGGAAGGTCTGCAGCTGTGGAGGAGCAGGTGCATTCCTCTCTGGCACCCGCCCGGGCCGGAGCAGCTCATTCAGTGTGCCTTGGGAATCAGACTCATAGTCAAACTGCAAATTCTACTGGAGATTCTCACATGCCCACAGGGGTGAATATCACTGGCATTTATTGTGAACTGTTTAAAGCCCAGGACTATGACTTATACATTTTCTATGCACATTCACACTTGTATAGATTTTTGTTCAGTAAAATCTTGTTGAAATTTTTAAAATTTTGCATAAAGATTTTTGTGCAGATCACGACTTGTGGATTTCTGAGAGCACTTTATTTAAACTATAGATCAGAGATTGGCAAATTATAGCCTCTAGCCAACCAAGCCCGGTCAGGCCTGTTCAGTTATGTAATTGTAGATGCTTTCAAGCTACACAAACGCAGATTTGAGGAGCAGTGACAGAGACCATATGGCCTGCAAAGCCTAAAATATTTACTCTCTGGTCCTTTACAGAAAGCGGCCGCTGATGCCTGCTCGAAATAAGTATTTTTATGTGAAAGAGTGTGCTGTGCACTCTGTCCACATGAGATGCAATGCTGTTGACTAAACTGTCTGGCTCTCCAAGAATACTTGTTTTAACGGTGGTGCATTTTGCTTTCTCTCCCTAGAGTTCCTTCCACTTTTCTGCTCCCTCTGCCTGTGAGCTGAAGGGGCTGAGCCGCACACTCCTTTTTCTATATCCAGCCTGCATTTTGTTTCTGCCCACAATGTGCGAGGTAAGATTTTAATTTTTGGCAAGGAGTATGATTTGGGTTCATTGTGGCTGCTTGAAAATCGCACCACTGCTCATTCTATCTTTGTCTCCTTTCCAGGAATTAGTGAATGTCAGCGATGCTTTCGACTCCACTGAAGATTGTGTTTTTATGTCAGTCAATACTACATATTATGACTTACCTGATCCTGAAAACTTGGTGTGCTCCTTGCAGGAGGTCAGGGACTTCTCCAGGCTATTTGTACCAATTGCCTACTCCTTGATCTGTGTCTTTGGCCTCCTGGGGAATATTCTGGTGGTGATCACCTTTGCTTTTTATAAGAAGGCTAGGTCTATGACAGACGTCTATCTCTTGAACATGGCCATTGCAGACATTCTCTTTGTTCTTACTCTCCCATTCTGGGCAGTGAATCACGCCACCGGTGCGTGGGTTTTCAGCAATGCCATGTGCAAGTTGATGAAAGGCATCTATGCTGTCAACTTCAACTGCGGGATGCTGCTCCTGACTTGCATTAGCGTGGACCGGTACATGGCCATTGTACAGGCAACTAAGTCGTTCCGGCTCCGATCCAGAACACTACCGCGCAGCAAAGTCATCTGCCTTGCTGTGTGGGGAGTGTCGGTCATCATCTCCAGCTCAGCTTTCATCTTCAACCAGAAATACAACACCCAAGGCAGCGATGTTTGTGAGCCCAACTACCAGCCTGTCTCGGAGCCCATCAGGTGGAAGCTGCTGATGTTGGGGCTTGAGCTACTCTTCGGTTTCTTTATCCCTTTGGTGTTCATGATATTTTGTTACATGTTCATTGTCAAAACGTTGGTGCAAGCGCAGAATTCTAAAAGACACAAAGCCATCCGTGTGATCATAGCCGTGGTGCTTGTGTTTCTGGCTTGTCAGATTCCTCATAACATGGTCCTGCTTGTGACGGCTGCAAATTTGGGTAAAATGAACCGATCCTGCCAGCATGAAAAGCTAATGGGCTATACGAAAACCATCACAGAGGTCCTGGCTTTCCTGCACTGCTGCCTGAACCCTGTGCTCTATGCTTTCATTGGGCAGAAGTTCAGAAACTACTTTCTGAAGATCATGAAGGACCTGTGGTGTGTGAGAAGGAAGCACAAGTCCCCAGGCTTCTCCTGTGCCAGCAGGTACTCAGAAACCTTCATCTCCCGGCAGACCAGCGAGACTGCAGATAATGAAAACGCGTCCTCCTTCACGATGTGACGTGCTGTGTGACAGAAAGCCGAGTTTCCCTAAGGCATTTGTGAAACATACTCATCGATATTATGCAAAAAAAAAAAAAAAAGTCTGTGGCCGAACACACATGGAAAATGTGGGAATTAAGCAAAATCAGGCAAGCGTCTCTCCTGCAGGACTGAACGTGCTCATGGGCTGTGTGGTCACTTCAGGGTGGTAGTGGTTTTCTGACTGGTAGCATTTTTCAGCACACTTTGCAAGGAATGTTTTGTAGCTCTGGAGTATATATAGGCCTGGTGTTTCACTAGACAGCCTTTGGGAAATGCCGAATTAAAGTGAATTGTTGACCAATGTAAAAATTTTCAGAAATAGTCATGAAGCAGTCACAAATCACAGGGTCTTATAGTTACAACAAAAAATGATAGCATGGTCTGAAAAAACAAAACAGAAGAAACCACTGAAGCCCACACATCACTCATTTTAGGCAAGTCTTGGAGCATTTTATTTACCAGAGTATTTGTTGATGCTGGTTGTCAGCAGCAGGACCAGCTGCCTGGGCTTTCTTTCCTCTCATTTCCCTGAAACAGTCAACAAGCCTGACGCGGTGAAATGGAGGCAGAAAGGCAAGCTCAGGTGTTCACAGCCTGGAAGTGCTTCGGGAAGACACGACAGTGGCAGAACAGGCTTCGGTGACAACTGTCACCGTGGATGGAGCGGCTCAGGTCGCAGTGGGCCATGAGGAAAGTGTCACTTTGCTTTTACTTCCCTGGGAGCTGTTCTCTGTCATGAGCGACTCTTCTCTGGACAGGAGCTAGAATGATCTTGCTCACAGCTGTGCTCTGCGCACCTAGCAGAGTTCCAGTGAAAAAACGGGACTCAGAGATATTTGATTAATGAATCGTAATGAAATTGGGGTTTATTGTGCAGTTTAAAGATTAGATGTTTTTAATTTTTTTAAATAAATAGAATACTTTTTTTTTTTTTTAAAGAAAGCAACTGTACTGAGATAATGTAGAAAGAAGTTTTGTTCTATGTCTTTCATGTGGTTGAAGAGCAATGGTTGGCTGAAGACTTTTGTTATGAGGAGTTGCAGATTAGCTAGCGGACAAATGCAGATTAGCTAGCGGACAGCTGGAATTATGCTGGCTTCTGATAATGATTTTAAAGGGGTCTGAAGTTTGTGTTGGAATGAGATTTTAACAACTCTCTTCAACGACATGGAAAGTTTATGGAAATCATGTTTTTGAAGGGTTATGTAAATATATGAACATTAGAAAAATATCCATTTGTGTTACAAAAATACAAACGTGTTAGGAAAGTACTGTCATGGGCCGGGCATGGTGGCTCACTTCTGTAATCCCAGCATTTTGGGAGACCCAGGTGGGAGGATCACTTGAGATCAGGAGTTCGAGACCAGCTTGGCCAACATGGCAAAACCCACATCTCTACTGAAAATGCAAAAATTAGTCAGGTATGGTGTCAGGTGCCTATAATACCAGCTACTTGGGAGGCTGAGGCAGGAGAATCCCTTGAACCCGGGAGGCAGGGAGTCAAGATAGCGCCACTGCACTCCAGCCTAGGCGACAGAGTGAGACTCCATCTCAAAAAAAAAAAAAAAAAAAAAAAAAGAAAGAAAGAAAGAAAAGAAAAAAGAAAATTACTGTTATGAATTACTAAAATACTGACTTGTTTAAACCTGACAAATGTGTTATTTGAAACTTTATATTGTTCTTGTAAGCTTTAACTATATTATCTCTTTAAAATGCAAAATATGTCTTAAGATTCAAAGTCTATATTTTTAAAGCATTGCTTTGCAAAATAAAAAATGTGTTCTGTACATGAAATAGGAATCGTCTTTCAGCTTCAAGGTCCGGATGGAGGGGCCCACTGTCCGGAGAGCGTGTCTTCAGGCTTCCTCATGTCCTTCAAAGCTGTTAGTGTTTGACTCTACAGATCAAAGCAAAACGAGTTGTTATTCGGACACTTCTTGCAGTGTGATCAGCGTGCTGATGTCATCTGTGATGAGGATTCATGCCTGAACACTGGCACAGAAACATTGCTTATTTGCCAGTGAGCTTCTCTGCATTGTTTAAAAGTTCAAATAAATGAAGCTGACTTCTTTAAGCAACAGCCTTTTAAACATTTTAGGTATAATGTATAAAAATGTTTACTTTATTTCTTCTTAAATATAGTACATTAAGTGACATCATTTTTCTTGCTGTCTCGGGCATCAGAACAGGTGCTATGGGAACTTGATGCTCTCAGGAGACATTAATTAGCTGGAGGGGGCCGTTCTTCAGTGGTTCCTGTTGATTTCCCCCTTATCTTTTCGCTGTCAGGCTGTGGCCGTCCCTACCAGAATCTGGACCGTGTCCGCCATTAGTCCTCCTCTCCACTCAATGCAAACATTATTCGGTAAGTTTGGTGGGGAGATCAGCTATCTGCACTTGTCAGATTGTGTATTAATAGGACAATGTGTTAGAACCTCTCAGTATTCAATTATTTCTGGATACGTGAGATTTTACCATATGCAAAGTTCAACATTTAGGGATTTAAGCATTACCTTGCAAATTGCATATGATTTGCTTCTAAGGACAGACAGGCTGGATTTTAAATGAGGCCAGAAAAACACAACATTTCCAAACCTTTTAAGACTTCCGGTAATGTGTGGAAGTTACAGGCTTTCTGGAGACACACTTACAGAGAATCTGGTCCAATGAATGCAGTATATATGCCACAGCACGCTACAAAGCTAGTTGGCTGGGGCTGCCCTGACAAAATGCCACAGACTGAGCGGCTTAAACAGCACCTCTATTTCTCACATTTCCAGACGCTGGTTAAGGTGTTGGCAGGGCTGGTTTCTCCTGAGGCCTCAAATAGCTTTTCCTCTGTGAGAGCTGAAACTTCTTATAAGAACGCTAGTCAGATTGGATTACAGCTCACCCCAGAGCCCCTTTTAATCACCGGTCTAAAAGCCCTGTCTCTAAATATCGTCACTTTCTGAGGGTTAGGACTTAGGCATATGAATTTTAAGGGGTCACCATTCAGCCCCTAACATCTATTTCCCTGAAGATAGGTCACCTTTTCATATTAAAGTTGATCTAAGACACGGGAGAATGTCTTTCTACATAGTTTCCTCCTTTCCAATAAGTTACATTCACTCCCATTTATTTGCATTCATTCCCAAACATTCATTCCCATTTTGGCTTTGCAGGCACAGATCCCACAGAAAGATGACAGAGAAGGGCTGTGGTCCCTGGCGAGACGCCGCCTGCCTATGTAACCTGCACAGCCTTGAGCTCCAGCACCTACCCATGGTGCAGGTTTCCATATCTGACCCCAGTGGTCCACCCCCTGCCCTGGTCCCGGGGCTGACGGGTGGCGTTTCCTCCCCTCCTAGCTCTCTTGCAGGGAAGCAGGGAATTTCCCCAAGTCTGAGTGGCCTCCATATTCAAAGCAGACATCCCCCTCTTGAGAACATGAGGATGGTGACCTCAGCTGTGGCAGCAGAAAGCAGCTGTGACAGCCCTGGGGAGGCTAGGCCCTGTTCTGCCCCTATTTGTATCAACAGCACATTCATGGCTCGTGACTTCAGGGGGGCTCTCTGTTGCCTTAATCTCATTCTTGGAGCACATTCTCCCGCATGATACAGAATGAGGTGCCATTTTACATTTACCATTAGACGATGTGAGTCATTGCAGCCCCACAGAGTACAGCTGCCCCAATGCATTCATTCCACAGTCTGCTGGTTGCTCTGTGGAGAACCTGACGCGCTCACAATCTTTGTGCTCAGGGATTTCATGAAATAAAAAGGCTGCAGCATTTGGATGAAGGCCACCCTCGCTCTGGTGTGTCTGCAGAGCTCAGGGTGGTCTGCCATGACCTGATTTCATGCTTGCGACTCAGCACGCGCAGCTGCAATCTTCTTCCTTGCACTGCATTTTCCAACAGCATGGTATTCCTGATGCCTTACATAGGGAAATCCATACAAGAGCGAAGGTAGGACCTGTTTATTTTGTACCTCTTAGTTGACTCCTCTTTTCAGTCAGAGTCCAGGTAGATAATCGGGGAAGAGGAGCAGAGCGCTCTTCTCCCCTCAAGGCTGTCCTCAGCCCAAGGGGGCCGCTGTACCTCCTTCCAGCCCGTTTCCACTCTAGCCAACAAGAAGCAGCATGGGGGAAGCAGGTGGCCTTAAAGACACAACTGGAAAGCTGTGGAAATCAGTTCTGCTCCCGATGTGGGAGCCTTAACTTACTCACATGCTTACGGCCAGGTGAAATGCTGGGATGCTCTCTACCAGGTGGCCAAGTGTCCAGGTGGACGCAGTAACAACAGACATACCTGGAACACTCTTCAGCGGGTGGCTGTGTGTCCACACACATGCAGGAATAATAAACTTCCCGGAACGCTCTTCAATGAGTGGCCGTGTGTCCACACACATGCAGGAATAATAAACTCCCTGGAACGCTCTTCAGCAGGTGGTCATGTGACTGCACACATGCAGGAATAATAAACTCCCCGGAACACTCTTCAGCGGGTGGTCATGTGACTACACACATGCAGGAATAACAAACACCCCGGAACGCTCTTCAGCGGGTGGCTGTGTGTCCACACACATGCAGGAATAACAAACACCCCGGAACGCTCTTCAGCGGGTGGCTGTGTGTCCACACACATGCAGGAATAATAAACAATTCTGAACACTCTTCAGCAGGCGGCCATGTGTCCACACACATGCAGTAATCACAAACACGCCACGTAGGAAGGGGAGAGATACTGAGAAAACTGTTTTTACGGAGGGCAAGCAGCCAGACTCCTGTCTTCAAACAGAGGGGAGGGTCTGTGCCTACACAGCGGTAGATGAGCAGCAGCCAAGGCAGCCCACAGGGCCGAGGCCACTCAGCGCAGGAGGTACGGCTGGCCCTGTGCAGCAAGGCTAAGGTCACCCAGGATGTGACCTGGACATGGGGTCCTGTTGCTGGGGCCTTTCCTCCTGTATCCCACCAATAATTACCACTAAGCCCACGGCTGGTCCATGTGAATGCCCAGAATACTGCATTTAGAATTAGTGTTAACATTTGAATGAGAAGATTTCATTTTTCTGCCTAATATTGAAAGATGAACTGGATACCTGGATTTCAAAAGACATTTTAGGATCTCTTTCTGAACCTAGAATGTAAATAGATGAGCTAGCGCCTCTCTCCATACCAGTGGGGAGCCAATGTGCCTCCTAAAGTCCTGGCTTGACCGGGAGCTGGAGCTCCTGAGCCGGCCGGGGTGCCCCTGCCCTGGCAGGACACTGCTGCCCTCTGGTGTGTGGGTCGCCTCCCAGCACCTGCACCTGCTCCTGGAGATGCTT